ACCCACCCCCAGAATTCCCCCCAAATCCCCCAGCTGGAGTGACGAGAGGACCTGGCAACCCTGCTCTCTTGGGATGAATCTAAGCCACCTTGGGCATTATTTGTAACAGCTCTAAGATATTTCTCAATAAACGACTTAGAGGGACCCTTTGGGGTTTTCAAGGCAAGAGACATTCAGAGGTGATCTGCCATTGCCTGCTTCTGCATGGTGACCCTGGACTTCCCTGGTGGTCACCCATAAAGGGAATGATGGCTCTCTTTTGGCCTCTTTGGGAAGCAGGATGAGGAGTTAATAGTTTCCAAGCAGGGGACTGGCAGCTCTGCCGGCTCTGCCCTTCTGTCCGAGGGGTCAGAATTGGCCTTCTGACCACCCAGGGCTTGTAGCTCCCTACACATCTTTGTTTACACAAAGCACAAAGAACATTTTGAATCACCCACATTGCACAGCCCAAGCCAGGATGTCCATCCCTTTAAATTCCTTGCAGCTTCGTTCAGACAGTTACATGGCCCTGCCTTTGGTTTTTTTCAGAGAGAGAGAGAGAGAGACTGACTGACTGACTGACTGCAGGGTGTGAGGCTGGCAGGAATGGTGGGTTGCTCTCCCAGAGTAGCAAACAGGGATCCTCTGCACATTTATTCAGAGGGAAATCTCACTAAGTTCAATGGGCCTTACACCCCAAATCTAAGTGTGTACAGGATTGTAGCCTTCACTAAAGTAGGGGTGAGAAGTGCCGCCAAGGTGCAGCTGACGTATGGCAACCCTGCAGGGTTTTCAAGGCAGGAGACCTCCAGGGGTTGTTTGCGGTTGCCTGCCTCTGCATAACAGCCCTGGGCTTCCCTGGCGATCTCCTATCCAAATACTGACCAGGGCTAGTCCTGCTTAATTTCTGAGATGGGATGAGATCGGGCTAGCCTGGCCCATCCAAATCAGGGCAGTAAAGTGCTGCCACATCCTTCCCTGAAGTACTGCCAAGTAACGGCACTGTCTTGTTGAATCGGCTCTGTCAACAGTAGTTAATTTTTAGCAAACAGGCATAGGATTGTGGGTGTGAGAAGCGGTAAAAAGAGGGGCCGTGGTTCAGTGGTAGGGCAGAAGGTCCCAGATTCAGTCCCTGGCATCTCCGGTTAAAAAGATCAGGTAGTAAGTGATGTGAAATATCTTTGGCCGAGACCCTAGAGAACTGCTGCCAGTCTGAGTAGACAATATTAGTTTTGATGGACCAAGGGTCTGAATCGGTGTACAAAAGATTCACACGTTTAAGGGGCACTTGACAGAGGAGAGCATTGGGATTGCTGCTTCTCTGTTTCACACAAACAGAATCTCTCTGTGACTACTATTGGCAGCAGCACCTATGAATCCCAAAGGTGGGCAAAAGGAACAGAGGCAGCCTGGGAAAGTGTGCGTATGAGTGTGACAGAGAGCTTGCAAGCCCTTGTTCCTGACGGCTTGGGACTCAGGTGCAAATTCCTCCAGTCCAATTTGCCCATTTGTGCAGCCATGCATCTCTATCACTACCACACATCTTCCTCCGGCTAGAGACAGGATATGCTGCACATGGTGGAAGAGATTAAGGATGGGCACAAACCAGTTCACAAGCCAAAATTCGACACAAATTTGGCCCGGTTTGGCACCTCCAAACCAATGTTTGGCGCCTTCTCTGAAAATTTACCGGACTTTTGTCTGGTTTGGTTCAGCTCTTCAGGCTATCTAAACTTAACAGCTGAGCAGCGCAGGTCTGCCCATCAGCTTTTAGGTTTAAATGGCTGTGAGCCGTTTCGCTAGACGTTTTTGCTTTGAAGCAAGGGGAAGCGAAACGGAATGGTGAAATGGCTTCCAGCCATTTCACCATTCTGTTTTACTTTCCCTTGGTTGGAAGCAGGGGGGAGGAAAACCAACTGGTTTAATGGCTGCCATTTGACACCCACCCCGCTGCTGAAATGGCTGTGAGCCATTAAACCCATCCGTTTCACTCCCCCCCACTCCAAATGGGGGGGAGCGTAATGAGTGAAATGGCTGTGAGCCATTTCAGCCTAACAGCTGACAGGTGTATTCGCCCCGCTGGTAGGCTGAAATGCTTGTGAGCTATTAAACCCATCCATTTCACCTCGACCCGAACTTGCTGGTTCAGTTCTGGGCAGTTTTGACGCAGTTTGGGGGCTGCCCCAAACGGGAATTTTTAAGTTTGTGCCCATCCCTAAAAGAGATTGAATGTGAGTAGAAGTGCACAGGTGTGTTACCTATGACTCTAGGACCAAATGTGCCTCAGCAGGGAAACAAATAGGACACTTGAAAAAAGAAAACAAAATAGGACACTTGGGGGGGAAAGGAAATCTTGGAAGGCTAGCTTGGATGCTAGAATAACCAGTATTTGAAGGGAATGGCAAGTAGGGATGGGCACAAACCTAAAAATTCCAGTTCAGTTCGGGGAAGCTCCAGAACTGAACCCCGACCTGAACCAGCCAGTTTGGGCCCCCAGTTTGGGAACACTGGTGGCCATTTAAACCTAATAGCTGATGGGCGGACCTGATCCTCTGTCATGTTTCAATGGCTGTCAGCCATTTTAGCCTAACAACGGCACTGATTTCACCGGTCCATTTCTCTTCTCCCTGCTTGGAAGGGGGGGGGGGAGAGCAAAACAGATGGGTTTAATGGCTCACAGCCATTTCAGCCTAACAGTGGGGTGGGTGCTCTTGTCAGCTGATAGGCCGAAATGGCTGGCAGCCATTTCACTGTTCCGTTTCACTTCCCCCTGCTTCAAAGCATGCACACAAAAGCTTATACCCAGAATAAAACTTTGTTAGTCTTAAAGTTGCCACTGGACTCAAACTTTGCTATAGTGCATGAAGGGAAGGGGGAAGAGCACATGAGCCTGAGGTATGGCACTGCATTTGAACCACACCATAAAGAGAAAAATATACAGAAACAGATGTGAGACTAACCTCCAGGGGAAAGACAAAATGAAAAACGGAAAACAAACCAGTGAACTACTGATGATACATCCTGGGCTTCTGGATCCTCCCCAGCATTTTGAACCCTTTAAAAAAATTAATCTATCATATCACATCCTTTCCTTGTGCTCCAAACATCCTACCGATACAAAGAAGCTAAAAATAGCCGTTTCTTTATGTAGCAGAAAGAGATAAATGTCAAAACAGGAAGCCAGAAATCCAGAACAACTTAAATCTTACCCACTGTTTTAATTTTATACTACAATCCGATGTGGATACTATTTCCATATAGTAGTAATACGGGATATAAATTATCTGAATAAATAATAAATAATGTAAATGATAAAGCAGCATTGAATATACAAAAGTTCAGAATTATTGGGTTCGAAGTACCAATTGCAATGGGACAGCAATCTTCTCTAACCACTTTCACAGCCCATTTATTTCTCACACAAACTGGAATGACACAATAAGTAGAATGATATAAGAGAGCAAACGCTATCAGATCTGGCTACGCAACGACATTACTGAACGAAAGGGACAGCAACAGGGCATGCGGGCAAATGAGGGCACAGTAAAAGGACTGGCAAAAACAGTTTTGCAGAGTACTGAAAAATCATTGAAATAGAGGAGTTCATTTACCAGAGTAGCTTTGCCAAAATCATTTTTACAATTTGAATAATGTTGGCTAGGCCATATGCATACACACACACACACACACACACACACGGAATAAAGCCCATTGTGGAAATAAATACAATGAGCGCTAGAAAGAGGCTCTGGGACAGTGCCAAGGCCGTGGGCACTCAGAATCAATTTGCCATGCCAACCTAAGCAGGGTATAAGGACACAGGGTCCACCATTTTCTCCAGGGGAACGGATCAATACCATCCGGAGAGCAGTTGCAATTCTGAGTGACCTCCAGCCCCCACCTGGAGATTGCCAACAGTGGTTCCCCATTACGGAATGGCTGGTTTGGAGGGCAGAGTCTATTGCATTGTATCTGTCTGAGGCCCCACTCCTCCTCAAACCTCACCCTCTCCAGGCTCCATCTCTCAAATCTCCAGGATTTTCCCATCTGGAGTTGGCAACCCTATCTACGTCCCAGCCAAGCAGCAACCTACATTCCCCCCTCATTGATCAGCTTTCCATTTCCTCCCCACCAGCAGCCCCCACCGTGCTCTGAAGCCCTGACTGCCACATATCTGTGGCAGGAATGGGGTGGCTGCTGGTACCTTTTCCTATCATTTTTTGCCTTGTGGTAATGTTGGACTATGTTGGACTTTTTTTTACAATATTGTAACATTGAAAATGCTGAAAAAACCTTTTGCAATTTTATAAAGTCTAAAAAGTTTTACAAATCATCTTGATAGTGTTCAATCTCCAGGTGGGGGCCGGAGGTCACTCAAAATTGCAACTGCTCTCCGGATGGTATTCATCCGTTTCCCTGGAGAAAACGGTGGACTCTGTGTCCTTATACCCTTCTTAGGTTGGCATGGCAAATTGATTCTGAGTGCCCACGGCCTTGGCACTGTCCCAGAGCCTCTTTCTAGCGCTCATTGTATTTATTTCCACGATGGGCCTTATTCCTAGTTATATATAAGGAGAAATATATGGTGTTAAAGGTGGACAATGAAGAAAGCTGACAGGAAGAAATTTGATTCATTTGAAACACGGTGTTGGGGAAGAGTTTAATGGCTACTGTAGACCACCAAAAAGATAAATGGGTTGTAAATTAAATCAAGCCTGAGTTCTCCCTAGAAGCTAAAATGACTAAACTGAGACTACTGTATTCACATTATGAAGAAGAGTAGGTTTTTATACCCTGCTCCTCTCTACCCTACGGAGTCTCAGAGTGGCTTACAATCTCCTTCCCTTCCTCTCCCCACTACAGTCACCGTGTGAGGGAGATGGGGCTGAGAGAGTTCTGAGAGAACGACCATTGGACACTTACCGTGAAGGGACCTTCTCCTCTGAGGAAAGGAGGACATCTGTATGGGTTATTCCCACCGTGCCTATAGGGAGGCATAGGGTTGCCAAATCGACTTACCTCACCGGCGGGGGACTCTGGGGTGGCTCCTGGAGCGCACACGCGCATGCACGCCGCATGCACATAGAGTTTTCCCCTCAAATGGCTGTGGCCCCGCCCCCAGCGTGCCCGGCGTCATGACGTCACTTGCCTGTGACGTGCACGCGGGGGTGGGGTTTCCCCCGGGGCCCGATTCCGCGGGGGCGGAAATCAGGCCTCCAAAGCGGGGGGGGAATCCGCCCCCCGGGGAGAATTGGCAGCCCTAGGGAGGCAGGAAGTTGTTTTTTCCCCTTCCTGTTGGCGCCTTCGGAATAGCCCATCCCCAGTTCGGTTCCTGCCTCACTAGGGAGCAGCAGCATAGCTTAGCTAGGCTTAGCTGAAGTTAGAAAGCCTCTGATCTTTTTCTCCTTTTAAGCATGTTGCCTTGCCTGTTCTTCTTCCTCTTTTCTCTCTTGACCTTCCTTCTTGTTTTTTCTTCTGCTCCGGTCTCGGAGCTAAGACTTCAGGGGGTCCGTTGACCCGAAGAGCCGACTCGAGCCGCTATGGCGGCAAAGGAACTGTGACTGACCCAAGGTCACCTGGCAGGCTGCGTGCAGAGGAGGAGTGGGGAATCAAACCCTGTTCTCCAGATTAGAGGCCATCGCTCTTAACTACTACAAGAGACACTAGAAAAGACAATAATGCTAGGAAAAGTGGAAGGCAGCAGGAAAACAGGAAGACCTAACATGAGATAGATTGATTCAGTCAAGGAAGCCACAAAGGCTCTCAGTTTGCAGCTGTTGACAATAGGATGCTTTGGAGGTCATTCATTCACAGCATCACCAGAAGTCAGACATGCCTTGATGGCATTTAACACACACTAACACCAGGACAGCCTTTAGATTAACTGGGATCATATTTTATTATAAATAAATAGTGATTTTCTGCTGATTTAGTACCTCTGATTTTTCTGAGCTCGCATGGAGGCTGCTGTATTAACAAAACGAATATAACAACCGTACATTTTACAATATGTACGATCCTTGGCCACGCGACTATCACATGACCAGAGATTGTGCATCCACATGTGCACACGCTGTCTCTTTAGAACAGGTCTGAATGTAAATAGTGTACCAGGCACAGAAAGGATCTCCCTTCCTCTGAGTTGGCATAACGACCCAGGAGTAGATTTATCCTGCCAACCTAGCAGTTCGAAAGCAAGAAATTGCAAGTAGATAAATAGGTACCGCCTTCGGTGGGAAGGCAACAACGTTCTGTGAGCCTCGGCGCTTAGTCATGCCAGCAACATGACCACGGAAACGTCTTCAGACAGCGCTGGCTCTTCAGCTTGGAAACTGAGATGAGCACCGCCCCCTAGAGTCAGATTCGACTAGCTTTTGAGCAAGGAAAAATTTTACCTTTACCTAGGGCCACCAAGTGGGGCAGCGGTGGCTCAAATGGTTAAGACGCTGAACTGCAGACCAGAAGGTTGGTAGTTCAGCAGTTCAAGACCCGAGTGCCGCATGACAGAGTGAGCTCCCGTCTCTGGCTCCAGCTCCTGCCAACCTAGCAGTTCGAAAGCAAGAAATTGCAAGTAGATAAATAGGTACCGCTTCGGAGGGAAGGTAACAGCATTCCGTGCGCCTTGGCAGTTAGTCATGCCGGCCACATGACCACGGAAACGTCTTCGGACAGCGCTGGATCTTCGGCTTTGAAACGGAGATGAGCATTGCCCCCTAGAGTCGGATTCGACTGGCTTTTGAGCAGGGGAAACCTTCACCTTTACCTAGGGCTACCAAAGTGCCATTTTAGGAAGCAAACTGCTGGCATTTCCCTGCTGATCAATTCAACTCGCAGATGATTTCACAAAACCCCTTGAAAGATCACATTTTATTGCAGTATCCCATGGATGGGTTTCCTCAAAAGAAACAACACGTTCAAGAAGCTGCCAACTCACGTTCTTCTGATGTATCGACTCAGCTGCCCTGGTGATCTCATCCAGACACTTCCCGATGATGGGGACAACTTGCCGGTCCACCTCTGCAAAGGTCTTCATGGATTCGCCTATCCGGACTATCCTCCTCTCTTCCATCTCTTGTATTTTCTGAAAGAGCAGCAGCATTAATAACATGGCATTCAGACAGTGTTATTTATTTTCACTTCCAGTCGGTCTTTCTCACTGGGGCGGCGGTTGGATAACAAGTACAACAGAATGATTCAGTCCACCAGTGAAAGCACGATATCATTTGAATGGGCACAATATTTGAAACTACCCGCTAAGGTGCCTAGTAAAACAAAGCTATTCAGCCAATCAGCGAACAGATTACTAAATATAACAAAAGCAATTAATTAATATTTAATAACAATAAAGACTGGGCTTTAAAGTCCTCAGAGAAGTCTCCCCACGTTACTTTCTTGGGGTATTTACAGAAGCTCTGGGAGGGAGGCCAGCCCTTGTTTCTCTGAATCCGCTGGGCGCCCACCCCACCCCAGACTCCTGGGTCTTCCCTGCCCACTGCCTGGAGAGTCTCATTTATCAGAGACACGACTCCAAGCCTGTTTCTTACATAACAGGCCTAAACCATTAGGTAATATTCCAGTGATGCCCTGGTGCATCAGAATGTAACATGCACAAGGACACTCTCAAAAACCTTGATATTGTAAGTTGATAATAGAAGTTTCCTTTTCTTTCTTCTCTTTCTTACCGCTCCAATAGTTCAGATTGCTTCCTAATGTTTCTATTAAGTTTACGCCAAGTCTGTTATCTTTCTACTGAAAACATATTCGGAAGTGTGATGAGTAATGTATTGTAATTCTTTGAACATGTTATAACGTTGTACATACTCAGGAACTATTTACAAGATGTGAATGTAATTGGAAGATTAATTGTTCACTGTTTGAAGTGTTAGAATTGTTAAAAATTGAAAAAAATAAAAAAAACATTAAAAAAACCCTTTGTGGTGTGGGAGGGGGGCTCCGTTCTACATGCAGACTTCAAATGAACAAAGAGTGTGTGTGTGTGTGTGGGTGTCCTGGTGGCCAGCTCCAGGTTTTGAGACAGCACAAAGCCCTCCTTCACACATGCTAGATACCCCCCCTCCTCCCTCTGTTTCAGAGAGAGGGCAGGCAGCAGCTATTCTGACACCCTCTCATCCGTTGCCTCCAGCAGTGAACTGTACGGACTCAGTTATACCGACGAGGGCATCTGGCAAAGGGGGAATTATCGTTGCTAGCAGCAAAGGGGGTGGGGAAGGGGGACCAACCCCTTTAGGGGAAGAAGGAGTGTAGGATTTTATACACCATTTTTTCTCTACCTTTAGGAGTCTCAAAGCAGCTTACAACTGCCTTCCCTTCCTCTCTCTCTCCACAACAATGACCTTGGGAGGTCGGTGGGGCTGAGAGAGCTCTGAGAGAACTGTGACTGGCCCAAGGTGTCCCAGCAGACTTTGCGTGGAGGAGGAGTGGGGCATCAAAACGAGCTCTTCAGATCAGAGGCCACTGCTCTTCACCACCACACCACGCTGTGGGGGGGGAGCTGTTCCACTAAGAATCTCTAGTTAAAAGGGTCAGGTAGCAGGTGATGTGAAAAACCTCAGCCTGAGACCCTGGAGAGCTGCTGCCAGTCTGAGTAGGCAAGATTGACTTTGATGGACCCAGGGTCTGATGCAGTACAGGGCAGCTTCATGGGTTCAAGTGTACTCGCAGGTGGAAGAGCTGTTTGCCCTCCCCCCTTCTGAAGCATGGCTAAAGGCTGCAGTTGGGAACACAATTCCCTGCCTGTCCCCATGTGCAACAGAAGCCAAGATTTAACTCTAGTTGGCCCTGCTCACAGCAGTATTCACAGAAAAGGAGCAGCACAGACCTCCAGCATCTAACTCTGGCGTAGGCCTCCAAGGAAAACAGATGTTGCACATGCCTGAAATGATGAACTGCAAACAGTATGAGCATGCAGAAGCCCGTGAATGAATCAAAGGTACGTGCTTTCTGGCTTTGCCACGTGACCCGAGCAGGGGCTGGCTGCCAAACACAGCCCGAGATGTCCGGTTTGACTTCAACCTTCTCAAGGATGGCTGGAAACAATTCCAGGAAGGACCCCAAGAAAGACATCCTTTTCCCCAAGCGAAACTCTCTCAGGGCTATTTTGGCACATGATGAACAGGCCTGGGAAACTAGCTGATCCAGTAGGGAGAACTGCCTGACCAAGAGACCACCTGTTGTTTGACCACAGTCAAATAGTGCTGGTTGCCACATGGGGAGGGGCTTGTGTGGGATCACAACTGCTGGTGCGGCTGCTGAGACAGCACAGCTGCAAGAGGGCTTCTACGTGGCCAGTTTCCCCAAAGGTTCCCTGGCCCAGTTCCACAGGAGCAGCAGCCACACACACCCTTTTCCTGAGGCCACTGGGGCTTTTCCAATTTTTAAAAATCAGCAATTGAATATTTTTATATCAGCATAAAGCTAAAACAATATGTGAAAAATCTCTGAATTCCCAGCTTCCTTAAGTCTCTATCCTTTTTCATTGCAGAGACGTGCATTTCCTCTTATATGTTCACAATGGAGATAAAGACTTACTTATTAAAAATGAAAGCTTGAAGAGAACATGGGACAAATTTTATGATGATGTTATGTCAATACAATAATATTCAATTGCCAATTTTTTTAAAGCCCCCCTGGTGGTGGAGAAATAGCCACTGTGGGGACAGTGTTGGGAAAAATGAATGCCACATGGGTGGGAAAGTCTAAACTTTATCACCCACAGGGTAGCCATCCAGGCTTTACTGCGAGTTTTCAGAAAACTTTGCAGCAAAGTAGGTTTGAGAAAGATCAGAGAAAACCTGGGGAAACCCTGGGAGCTCCACAAATGCACTGTAATGTGGAAATGACCATTGTCAAGTGTTCCACAGAGTCAAGAAAATCACCATTAGGGGTGTGTGCTCGGTATATACTAAGCCGAATAAATTCAGGTATATATTCAGTCGAATCAAATTCTCTAATTTGATTTGGCTACCGATATAACTGGCCCAAATGAAAGCCAGAAGAATTCAGCTTTTATTCAGGTTAGTTAAGCGGTGCAAAGTTGACCCACTTTTGGGTGAGCACTTCTGTGCCTACCAGCCTTTAAAACCGGTCAGTTTCTCCCTCCATTTCCAAGTGGAGGGGAGTGAAACTGACCAGTTTAATGGCTCTCAGGCATTTCAGCCTAACAGCTGGGCCAGGTGCCCTGGCAAGTCAGCTATTCAGTTTAAAGGGCAGGAAGCCGTTTCAACACTCCCTTTCTGGTCCCCCCTTCAAAGCAGGGAGGGAGTGAAACGGAGCAATGAAATGACCCCTACTGCCAGCCATTTTAAGCTGAATAATTCAGCTTTCCTGAATACCTCCTGAATCCAAATATCATACCGATATTTGGATTCTTGAATATCGGCAAATTCAATAAACCCGAACCCGAAAAATACCAATATATATTTTTCACACACCCCCTAGTCACCATACAGGGTCCGCAGTAGCTCAGAGGTTAAGACGCTGAGCTGCAGCCCGGAAGGTCTGTAGTTTGGCAGTTCAAGACCCTAGTGCCACGTGAGGGAGTGAGTTCCCGTCTCTAGTTCCAGCTCCTGCCAACCTAGCAGTTTGAAAGCAAGAAATTGCAAGGAGATAAATAGGTACCACTTCGGTGGGAAGGTAACAGCATTGCGTGCCTCAGCGTCTAGTCATGCCGGCCACATGACCATGCAAACGTCTTCAGACAGCGCTGGCTCTTTGGCTAAGAAATGGAGAGGAGCACCGCCCCCTAGAGTCGGATTCAACTGAGCTTTCAAGCAAGGGAAACCTTTACCCTTTTTAGTCACCATATAAGTGGCAGCTTCCTTTTAATCCACTCTACTGTCCTTTGTTTGCAAGGGCAGGAGGAATGGTTGGTTGCTCCCCAGACCTGCAGATGCCCGGGGCAAAACCAGAAGCAGGGCGGAGCTTCCCATACTGCCCCCCTCCCATAAATGCAGGCATCTCCAAATGACAAGAATTTGGCCTGTTACCTATTTAGTGTGAATACAAAACCGATTTATTGTTTTTTTAATACTGTAATTTATGTTAGTAGTAGTGGGAAGAACTATCAAGTCACAACTTATTTATGGTGACCCCATAGAGTTTTCAAGACAGGAGGTGTTCAGAGGTGGTTTGCCATTGCCTGCCTCTGCATAGCGACACACATACTAAAGTCCACTTCATCAGATGCATGTAGTGTGTCCTTGCTAGGCAGACACATATATAGAGAAAGGCTATGAGTGCGATTAAGAAAAGGATAAATACCATCCACAGAAGCAGTAATAAGTGATAACACTTTCCCTAGTTTTGCTATGCTAGTTAACACCTCTGGTGACTGAGGAATCCCAGCTCTTTGTTAATTCCTTTGGATATCGTGTCAGATTTCTTGATGAACTTCTAGAACTTCAACTGTTTCATGTTGGAAGTATTCTTTTGAAGTTCTTTTACAGATGAATGGTGAACTTTAGCTCTCCTACTGATTTCAAAATATTGCTATTTTTTAAAAGTGTCAGATTTGTATCCATTTATTCTTTTGAACAAAGCGTTCTATGCAGAAAGCAGAAGGGAGTATTTGACAAATGATGGTCTATATGGAGGATAACAAAGTAGATGGGGCTATGCAGTATTTTTGTTTAGCATCTGTACCAAATGCTAATATAGGTTCTGCCAGCGACAAAGCAAAGAAGCTCAAGAGAATGCAGTTGGTGTTATTCTGTCCCTAAACAGTATTGCATGAGTGGAGAGTGTCTGGTCCCTGGATGTGTGTCTTCGTCAGGTGGCACAGCAATGTAGTGAAGAAGGTACTCTCCTTACATGCTCAGAGGCATTTTTTTCCAGAGGCTGAGGCCCAGAGAATTTAGAGGAAAAACTGGTTGTCTTGCTGCTATCCACGTTTTCAAAATCTGGGCTTCAAAAGTTGCCACAGAGTGACATTAGTTGTAGTTAGTTCAGGAGACAAACTTTGGGCACTTTCACATACACTAAATAATGCACTTTCAAGGCACTGTGTAACTGGATTTTAGTATCTGACCATCTCCCATCTCATCGGCCAGCATCCAGACCTGAAAGAAGACTCAGATGGTGGACAAAGCTTAAAAATCACTGACATTTGGGCCCGCAAAGCAAAGCCACAAACAGGCAGCTGTGGCTGTTTTCAGCTGGCACCAGCCGGCACCATCACAATGCAAATGTTTTCTCATGTCATAGCTGCAGAACAGAGGTGGCGATAGAATGAAAACCAGAATGAAAAACAGTGATATCACCATCCGGCTTCCTCTCACCCTGACTCACCCATTATAAATTCCTCCCAATTATAAATCTAACCCCCCCCACCCCCACCCCAGCAGCCACACAAACCACCATGGCCTATCCAGCAACGGAATAGTTATCTGAGGTGTCGGCTTGGAGGAAGAGAGGGAAATCGGTTGCTTTTGGACACCCTGTATGCTCACAAAGACACACTACGGTTGTTTTTTAAAAAAGTTTTTTATTTGTGACGTGACAGTTTCCATTTCAAGAATGGGACTTTGCTTTTAGGCAGTTTCTAGTTCATAAAGAAACAGGCCCCTGTTTAGTTACTAGCGCTGTGACCCCAGCAAGCTCCTCATAAGAGGTAAAGGGTGATTTAAGCCAGGGATGGCCAACTTCAGCCAGGAGGCTGAATCAGGGCTAACTTAAGACATGCTGAGGCCCTAAGCCAGGGGTGTCCAACGCAGTGCCCGTGGGCACCATAGTGCCTGCCAACCCCTTCCCTGACACATGCCAGGTGCTTCTAGGAACTGAGTGGGGCCAGTGGGGTTTTTTGCCCAGCAGGGCTTCTGATTGGTCACTGGTTGGCTGTACAGGGGTTTTTTAAACGTTACTTCAGCAGCAGCTGCCACCACAGTGCAAGCACCGTAGCCCTGCTTGGCGGGGAAAGGAGCAGGATATCAGCTGAATAAATAAAATAAATAAATCTTCACCATGTGAGTGAAGGAAAGCTGTGTGTAGGCAAGAAATATTTTTTTAAAATGTTCGTTTTAGAATTCTGTTCAGCACAGCTTCTGCCTGAGATGTCGAAGAATTACTGTGTATGCCTAACCTCACTCTCTGATGTTTTGTAGTTGGCTCCGCCTCCCGTAGCAGTCATTTTATCATGGGCTTCGCCTCCTGCAGCAGTCTTTATGTGGTTGTGCACACACCACCCTGTGTCAGCAAAGGTGCCCACAGGCTCAAAAAGCTGGGGACCCCTGCCAAGGTCTGAATGCTGGCTGGTAAGATGGGAGATTGTCGGATGCTAAATACCCCTACGTCGTTTAAGAGGCCCCACATCATCACTCGAAAATGATAATTTCGTTTTAAAAAAAGTATTTACAGGCCCCTCATATTCTGAGGGTCAAAACTGCAGTTTAGCGTGTGCGTAAATCCAGATCTTCATTGGCCAAACACCCCCCCCACCTTCAGCCATGATGGAATCACTATCTTCTGTTCCTCCTTAATTTCCACTCTGCTAGGAGCGTGTCTAAAATTAATTCTGGATTTGCAATCGTGTGCATCTTTTTTCCGCTTTGCTATTGCTAGCGTGGTGTCATCTGGGCCTACAAAGCAGTATCAGTGCAGCAAGTAACATTGTAAACGAGGATGGTTTGTTAAATGCAATTTTAACTGTCATTTGTCAATAAGTCAACAAGCAATATTTTGTTGAGCTGCCCATTCCATGGCCGCCTGGCCACAGAGATGACAGTGTAAGGAGGATAATGGGGGGAGGCAGCTAGAAAAGGCAAGAACTTGGATTTGTGACTTATATCTGGTTGACTAACCAGAGTTCATTGCACAAACCATTGTTGCTCATGATGTCTGAATGCATCCTAGAAGGGTCACTGCAGGCCCAGCATAAAGGTGCCCTCACCTGGAAGATGTTGGGTATGTGTGTGTGATAATGTTCGTGCTGTTCATGGTTGAATTTCTGTAGCGTTGACGAATATTCCGCTTTGCTGTCTTCAGCCATCTGTTGACGGAGCTGTGCCTGCTGCCGTGCCTGGGGGAGGAAAAGGTGAGAATGTTTCAAAACGGGTCTCCTCAATGAGAATCTTCAATCGAATAGCCAGTATCAAGTCTGATGGCCACTGTGAACATTTGGTCACAGACTGCTGCACCCAGGGAGACCTAAGGTTTTTAACAAAAAAACCGTACGTGGGTCATATTCTGTAAATACTCTGGGCCAAACTACAAGATACCATTTCTCACAAGACAGGACCGGGTTCCTTGAACCCGGTACAGTAGCTGCAGGGAACAGCAAGTGCAGCTCCAAAATGTGGTAAATAACTCCCCCTGGAGCTGTTTCAGACAGGGAAAATAGGGGGAAGGCTCTCATCCCCCTACTCCTGCAGACGTTTATCTGCCTGTTCCTGCAGCTGCTGTGTGGCTGTACGGCAAGAGAGTTGGGTCCGGAAACCCAGACCTGACTCATTCAAAATTGTATAGTTTGACCCTCTAAAAGGGCATCTTAAGGGAAGTCCTAGCCCAATACCACCATGAGGTCCCTAATAGAAAGACCTGATTTTTGCATTATTTGCATTTGCAAGCTTCAAATTAGGAATGTGTGTGCACCTTTCTAATCCAGAACTTTTCCCTCTATTTTCCATGTTATTAGTACTCATAGTCACCCAGTGAAATAGATGGCCAGTAGATGCAGGCCACACTGACCTGGATAGCCCAGGATAGCCCGATCTCATCGGATCTCAGAAGCTAAGCAGGGTCGACCCTGTCTAGTATTTGGATGTGAGACCTCCAAGGAATGCCAGGGTCGTGACATGGAGGCAGGCAATGGCGGACAATCTCTGAATGTCTCTTGCCTTGAAAACTCCACAGGGTCACCATAAGTCAGCTGTGACTTGATGGCAAAAAAGAAAGAAAGAAGGATTCAGACTGGACAAGACACATGATGTTTCCCCTGGGGACATCCCTGGGTAAGAGACATGTTCTGGAGTTCTGTGCTTCCTAGATGAGTGGGTGGCCAATTTACACCAAGACTATGGCACACAATGGGGAAAGAGCTTAAAGGTTTCCCCTGCACCATTTTCCTGACTGCAATGGCTCGGGGAGACCACGATTTGCCCTAGGAGGGGTTCCATACATGCTCATAGGCTACTTGTTATGTTTCCTGAATGGGGCAACAGTGCCTCACCAGGGCCATTTCAGATAGGGCTCACATGCCCTTGGGAAGTGAAGAGCTCCAGAATAAGTCTGTCAGCCTGATCTGAGACATCCCCTGGGAAAATTTAACAAGCAGTTCCACCCTTAGAGGGCTTCAAATTAGGAATGTTCAGTGACCCACTGGTTTGGATCGCAATGTGTGTGCCAACTATATCAGCAACATTCAAAACATTCACCTGTGTTCAGCTGACGTATGTCTGACGGTACAAGAAAAAAAGGCAGTCACAGTCACATATCCCTGGTTTCCCACAGCTTCCCTCCATCCCACCAACCCACCGCCACTTTCCTGTCTGCCACATTTTTTAAGGGCACAAAATGTCCACATGTCGCAGTTAGTGACTTAGATTTGCTGAGTTGCTAAGTGGCTACCTGTCTCGGTGACTGTTAATAGCAAATGCAGGCAAACTGTCTGGATCTGAACCAACTCTCACACACACATTCTTGAATTAATGGCACTGTTTGTTTGTTTTTTAAAAAAAACACCCTTACATTGGCCAGATTCCTGTTGTTAAACCTTGTCTGACCACCAAAAGAAACGTCTCTGGACTGGACTGCCTCTTCCTTCCTCTGTACACTTGGCCTTTCATGCCCTCCAGCTGTGTTCGTTAACAGGAAAGGCAAGCAAAATGTTCCTATCAGGAACAATTTCTGCATTTGCATTTTCACACTGCCTCATAGGAGTTGCGGGTTTAGGGTTATCATTTCCAAGGCACCCACAACACTCAACCTGCATCATGACAAAGAGCTGCTCTGATTGGCTGCCTTCATGTGCTCATGAACATGGAAGCAGGGAAGTCGGAGTGAAGGTGCTCAACTCACATGTAAACCAACAGCTCAATCATGGGGATTATTTGGGGTTTTATTGTATTCTGTCAGCCATGCTTGTTTTGAAGTTCTCAGCATTAAGGGGGATTTAGACAAAGTCATGGAAAGGGATAGGGTCTATTAGATACCACATACAAAGTCCTTTATGGCCTTGGACCCTCATATCTGCGAGACCACCTTTCCCCCCCATGTTCTACCATGACAGCTTCACTCATTGGAGTAGGAGCTTCTGCAGGTGCCAACCCACAAATGGGCAAAATCGACAGCTGCCTGCACACCTGGCCTTCTCCGTGGTGGCCCCCGCCTTGTGGAACGGCCTGCCCGAGGAGGTCAGGAAGGTTCCCCCTCTCATGACTTTCCACGAACTATGCAAAACCGAATTATTCAAGAGGACTTTTCTATGCAGGCAATAGACTTGAACTGTACTATATGATTCACAAAGTTACTTAGAAAAAATATTAGGGACTGCGGTCTGTACTACTGGGTATAGCTTGCTGAAAGTAAGATCCTACTATACAGGGGTCATTTCCTGCAGGAGCACACAGGAGCGGAGCTCTGGCAGTAAAGAGCCCAGGGGGCGGGCACATGCAACAAACCCCACCCCCTGCTCCCAGAAGCCCTCAGTCAGAGCAAGAAGCAGCCAGGTAAGTTGCAGAGCTGCCCCCGGCCCCCCGGTCCAAAACAGTCCAGTGGCACCTTTAAGACCAAGTTTTATTCAGGTACAAGCTCTCCCTCCTCTGTGAGGGACAGATCTGCACGCCCCCCCCCAATAGCTAGCAATCCAAAACAGTCCAGTGGAGCTTGAGCGGTGGGTGTTGCCTTCTGACACACTTCCGGTGATGTCAGGGGGTGTGGCATATGCAAATAAGTTACACTAATGAGTTATGCTAATGAGCTCCTGCACCTCTTTTTCTTATATATATATATATATACACACACACACACACACACACACACACACGGACGGACGGATGGGGCATTCAATATACAATGCACTGGGATTTGGGTTGGAGAAACAACCAGAAATCTGAAAAACAGAACTGAAGCTAAGCATAAGTATTAACATGACGCATATATATATAAAATAAAAATACTGGCTATTAGCCGTGATGGCAAAACATTAAGGACAGTGTTTGCCTCCGTACAATATGCTGGATGATAACAGCAGCAAAAGGCTGTTACCTTCATGTCGTGCCCCTTGCTGGAAGCAGGATGCTGGGTTAGCTGTCCTTTTTTTGCCAGCGGTTTGATCTCAGTTAAGCCCCGGTAAAGAGAAAGAGATGGGTATCCATATTGTGCCTGTGTGGTCTCGGCCCCAAGAATTATGCACACTCAAAGATCCTGTGCTTCTGCATCATTCACTGATGCGTCATGACCAGAATGAGAAATCCCAGAGCAGCGACTCATACAGAAACAAGGATGCACAGTTTCATCTGCGGGTGAGGAGTTCTGTATATCGTAAATGACTCAACAATCTGATTACACATCATGCAAAGACGCAGCAGAATTGCCCCATTAGAGACTGGCTGGAAGAATGAGGGAAGGACAGAGTAGTGAATCATGCAGAGATGCAACAGGCAGTTGATCGCCTCCCGGGAGCTTTTTTTCATCAGTTTATTAGCATATTACCAGTTTTCCTCCTGCAGCACACAGCTACTGTAGCAGATTGTTACTGTAGTCCTACCAAGCCCCTGCATAAAATCTTTGCACAAATATTTTCCTTCAACAATCTCTTTCACAGCTCCCCGCCCCCTCTCCTTGTGAGATTTTCACCCTGGAGCCTTCTGTCTTTCTTCTCATGGCCGACTTAATGTTTCCTCCCATCTGTTCCGTTTTGGCTGGCTTTCCGTCTTCGCCAGGAGGAGCGTTTTATCCCCGTCTCTCCTTCCTGCCTGTGGCCCATATGTCTTTCTCTCCCACCTGAATGGCAAGGCTCAAATCTAGAACCTATTTGGAATGACCAGAACAGATGAAGAAGGAAGGATGCCTCTGAGCATACACAGAGTACTTTTCACTCATCCTGAGGGGCCACGTATACGTTACATTCAGACATACATATCAGAACCACGGCACTGTTTTTATCTTGTAGAGAAGCTAGTTTGTGATGCAAGTGGAAATCAAGATAAGAAATGTGAAGGGGGGGGAATACTACAATTTCCCACTCCAAAATGTCCCCGTACCCCCAGTGAGGTTTCAATTGTATATTTGTGGAGGGAGATATACAACTGAAACTCCATTGGGAGAAAAAGCCACTGAAGGAGGGGACTGAGAGGACGGAGTAAACATTATTCTCCCTCACTTACGTCTCTACTCTCCATTCCCCCTGTATATGTTAGAATCATAAAACAAAAACCACTGCTGTTTTAATATGAATGTTTGCATGCAACTTTGGCCTCAGGATGGTGAGGGAAACTCACTCTGTACATGCTCAGAGTTATCCTCTCCTTTCTGATTTCATGTGCTCCTCTGAACACTTTGTGCACAACCACAATTGCCCACACACCTCTGGGTTGCGGGGGCTGGGCTGGGCTAGGGGGGCACAGTGGTGGATTTCTAGGTCAGCTCATACCACACCACCTCTCATTTTCAGAAATTGAGCACTTCCTCACTGTCATCACTTCGTGCCACCTTGGTTCCCTCAGCCAGGACACGGCTGGAAGCGTTATGTTCCCTGAGTCACCTAACACCCCCTGACACACAGCACCTGTAGGCTGGCCCATCTGTTCCTAAACAAAGAGCTCTCATATAAGCCACAGACAATGCCAATTCTCAAATCTTCTTTTTAGAGAAGCTTTGCTGTCCTTTTCAGACACCTCCTTTCTCCTCAGCTGTGCCAGCTGCCCAGGTGCTGACGCCACAGTCCTGAAACCGAAACCTCAAGCTAGAAGGTTGGGGCCTTTCCCACCTATCATGGCTGCTCAGCTGCCCTCAGATTTCTTTCTCCCTCCTTTTCTCAGAATGGGTCATGAGAACAGCCCTACTGGATTAGACTAAGAA